TATGTATATGATTAATGCCAGTCACAGTCAGTTACACTCAGATCCCTGGCACCTGAGCATGGATAAAAAGTCATCGGGTAAATTTCAATGGTAATGTGTTTCACCTCTACTAATTAACATGTAGCAAATTTTTATGCTTCTTCCTCAAATATAACTTATTTTTAATTTGATTTTTTGTGTGTATTTCATAAAGAACATCTGAAACAATCTTATTCATCTAAATACCCACTTCCCAAATGGCACCGTCCTATAGTCTTCCCCCTGCCCACTGGAGCACATAAACTATGTAATCCCTGTTACTGTTCACTGTGTTGTCCAAGCCCCCAGCCATTCTCCAGTGCTTGTCCATCCGCTGAATCTCATCAGCCTATCTAGCCTGGCTAGAGTAGAACACTAGCCCATTAACCAAAAGAAAGAAAGAGAACCTCCAAATCAATAAAATCAGAGATGAAAGGGGAAACATCACAACAGACACCAAAAAGATCAGGAAAATTATAAGGGAATACTTTAAAAACCTATACACTATGAAATTTGAAAAACTAAAAGAAATGGACAGGTATCTAAAAGCATGGGAACCACCAAAAGTAAACCAAGAAGAGATCAACAGCCTAAACAGACCCATAACACATAAGGAAATTGAAAGGGTAATACAACACCTCCTGACTAAAAAAGCCCCAGGACCAGATGGATTTACAGCAGAATTCTACCAGACATTTAAAGAAGATCTATATCCAATACTGTTTAATATATTCAAAAAGATATAAATGAGGGAGAACTTCCAAATCCCTTCTATGAAGCCAACATCAATCTAATACCAAAGCCAGATAAAGACACAACCAAAAAGAAAACTATAGACCCATATCCTTAATGAACATAGATGCAAAAATTCTCAACAAGATACTTGCAAGCCGCATACAGACACACATCAAAAAGGTCATTCACCATGATCAAGTCTGCTTTATTCAAGAGATGCAGGGATGGTTCAAAATACATAAGTCAATAAACATCATAAATCATATAAATGGGCTCAAAGACAAGAAGCACATGGTCAACTTAATAGATGCAGAGAAGGACTTTGACAAAATTCAACATACATTTATGTTCAAAGTCCTAGAGGGAATTGGGACTGGAAGGATCATATCTCAACATAATTAAAGCCATATACAGTAAACCCACAGCCAACATCATTCCAAATGGAGAAAAACTGGAAGCATTCCCATTAAAATCAGGAAACAGACAAGGCTGTCCACTATCCCCACTCTTTTTTTAACACAGTGCTTGAAACTCTTGCAAGAGCAGTAAGATAAGAGAAGGTAATTAAAGGAGCAAAAATTGGAAAAGACGAGATCAAATTATCACTTTTGAAGATGATATATTATACACATCATTCCAAATGGAGAAAAACTGGAAGCATTCCCATTAAAATCAGGAAACAGACAAGGCTGTCCACTATCCCCACTCTTTTTTTAACACAGTGCTTGAAACTCTTGCAAGAGCAGTAAGATAAGAGAAGGTAATTAAAGGAGCAAAAATTGGAAAAGACGAGATCAAATTATCACTTTTGAAGATGATATATTATACCTAAGAGATGCCAAACATTCTACCAGAAAACTCCTAGAAATTATTAACACATTCAATAAAGTGGCAGGTTAAAAAGTAATTTATAAAAGTCTGTAGGCCATTCTTTATACCAATAACAAGCAATCAGAGAAAGAGTACATGGAAACACTCCCCTTCCCAATGGCTGCCAAAATAAAAAATAGTAACTGCAAAAAACATAGAGTATCTCGAAATAAACCTGACCAAAGACATTGAAGAGCTCTACAATGAAATTTTTAAATCTTTAAAGAAAGAGATTGAGGAAGACTTCAGGAGATGGAATGGCCTCCCATGCTCATGGACTGGAAGAAATAATATTTTGAAAATGACCATCCTACCAAAAGCCATTTATAGACTCAATGCAATGCCAATCAAAATCCCCATGACATTATTCACAGATTTGGAAAAAAATCCTAACATTTGTATGGAATCACAAAAGACCTCAGATAGCCAAAGCAACCCTGAGCACTAAAAGCAATGCTGAGGGATTACTATACCAGAGTTTAAACTGTATTACAGAGCTATAGTCATAAAAACTTGGTACTGGAACAAAAATAGACCCTTAGATAAAAGGAAGAAAATTGAAGACCCAAACATGAGTACATGCAATTTCAGCTACCTGATATTTGACAAAGGGGCCAAGAAAATTCAGCAAATGGTGCTGGCAAAACTGGATCTCCACCTGTAGAATAAAACTAAAACCTCATCTTTCACCCTGCACAAAAGTCAACGCCAAATGGATCAAATACCTCAATGTGAAGCCTGAAACTGAAACTGTTAGAAGAAAACATTGGAAATACCCTACATGATACAGGTGTGGGAAAGCATTTTCTAAAGCAGACACCAATTGCTCAGGAAACAAGGTCAAGAATCAACAAATGGGACTTCATTAAACTAAAAAGCTTCTGTACATCAAAGAAGCAACCAAGGACGTGAAGAGAAAACACACAGAATGGGATAAAATCTTCACCAGCAACACATCTAACAGAGGTTTAACATCCAGACTATATAACGAACTCAAAAAAAAAAAAAAAAAAAAAAAAAACAAAGAATCAAGAAAGGAAGTAATCCAACTAACAGTGAGTTCTCAAAATAAAAATGGCTAAGAAGCATCTTAAAAGGTGTTCAATATCATTAGTAATTAGGGAAACACAAATTAAAACCACATTAAGATTTCATCTTATCCCAGTCAGAAAGGCTAAGATCAAGAGAAAAAATGATACCAAATGTTGGAGATGATGTAGGGAAAGGGGAACCCTCATCCACTGCTGGTGGGATTGCAAACTTGTTCAACCCTATGGAAAGCAGTGTGGAGAACTCTTAACACCTACCATTTGACCCAGTTATACCACTCCTTGGCATATACCCAAAGAACTCATCCTAATGCAGACACACTTGTACATCCATGTTTGTTGCTGCTCTTTTCACAATAGCTAAGAGATGGAAGCAACCTAAGTGTCCCTCAACTGACAAGTGGATAATGAAAATGTGGCTCATTTATACAATGGAGTTTTATTAAGCAGTAAAGAAAGATTAAATCATGAAATTTGCAGGTAAATGAATGGAACTAGAAACTGTTATACTAAGTGAGGTAACACAGACTCGGGGGAAAACAAAACAAAACAAAACAAAAAACGACGTATGTTCTCCCTCATATATGGAGCCTAGCACCAAATCCTGATAAGTGAGTATGTATCCAGACATAACTATAGTAACCAGGATAATGAAAAGGAACCAGGGAGGTAAAGGTAAAGAAAGAATCTGAAAGAAAAGAACAGTAGGAAACAGGCATTAATAAGGCAGATTGGATAAAAATTGGGTTATTTTAAGGGGAGGGGGGAAGGAGGGTTATACAACAAACCATGGGGATAAAGGGAATGAGGGAACTTAATAGAGGTGGGACCATAGGAGAAGGCTATTATTAAGGAAAAAATGGGAGCACTTTAAATGAGGAAACCATGGTGGAAAGATAGACAATGCAAGAGATAAATAATGCCTCTATAGTTTTTTAAAAATCCAGAGGGAACCATATTAATCAAACAACCTACTGATAAATTATACATACAACTAGCTCAAGGAATATAATACATGTCTAGGCAAGGTTTATCTGAGAACATTTGGTCTTTGCCCAAGATTTATCTACATGGCACATGGTAATTAAAGGTACCAGACTGGTGGAACTAACCTTCTTGGATGTCTAACAGCCATACTTTGAGGCCTATACTAATTTGGTCAGAAGGACTTGAAGGACAGTTTTTGCTCCTAGGTTGACTAAGCTCCATGGGACTATGAGCTTCTCTCAAAATGTCCTGTAACTGTGCTGAGTCACCTGTCCTCTTGATCAAGGAGGCCATAGAGACCCCACCAGATGGACTTGAACCAGTGTACAGTCTACAAAGAGGAGGGTCAACACAGATCAAACATTTCCTCCATGATTCCAAGTGAAGCCAGCCACAGTCGAGCAGGTTCTTTACTTATCTTCACATAGACGGAACAAGTAAAAGAAAGGAGTCAGGAGCTCCTCCCAAGCCCATGTGACCCCGAGGAACAGATCCTCAAACGACCCTAAGAACAAAATTAATTGGTTCATCTGAGCTAAATGTATGGTCTTAAACACCCAAAATGAAGGTATAACCAAAGATTAAAGGAATCAATATATTCTTTAAGAATACATGTGTATAGCTAAAAGCTACATAACAAGAAACAACGCCAAAGAGGAGATACCTTCCTACGAGTTGTTGGCCAAGGTGGCCCAAGAGACTCCCAGTCAGTAACCCAGCATAGAACTGAGAAAATGAACAGCAGACCCCAATCTTATCTAAAGGAATATTGGCCACTGATTCCTGCTAGAAGAGGTTCAATGCTATCTTTAATATTTGATAAGAAAGTAGGGGCAAACTTTAAAATATAGTATCCCCCTTACACAGTGGGGCTTTCCATTTTCAGCTTCTTTTGAAAAAAATGTCCATGAAATGAGATTCTCATTTTAGCTGCTGTATTGGAACACAAGCTAAATTCAGAAGTATATCTTTAATATTAAGCATCTTTAAATTTTCTGTTGGAATGAAATGACTTGTAAAAATTAAGTAAAAAGCAACGAGAATCTAATTATCAGAGTAATAAGGTGAATTTTCTTTCTGAGAAAAAAATGCTCTGTTTGCTCTTGTCACTTTACTTCAGAATTTAGAAATGATTTAAACATGGCAGAGAGTCACAATCATGCCCGTAATCCTAGCACTTTGAGGTGGAGGTAGGCAGTTCAGCAACTCAAGGACAGCCCCAGCTACGTGGTGAGTTTTTGGCCAACCTGGGCTACATAAAAATCCTGTGTCAAAAACAAACCAAAGTATTTAAGCATAGGACTCCAGAATAGTTCTTAGAAAACACAAGTTTATTGTTACCTGCTAGGCAGCCAATGAATGAAAGCAGGATCAACTGTTTCCATGACAACATCATCTTTAATTGCCAAAAGCAAGAGTAACTCTTGTCCAGTCTCTGATGAATAGAATGCTTTGTCTTCAAGTAAATCCTTTAATCTGCAAAATAGATGTACAAAGAACTTAGACTTTTAAAAACCTTTATAAAAGAGATTTTCTTCTTTTCTTTAAATTGAGTATCATTCACAGACATCACAGCCTCAGATAAAACAAATTTCTTCTTGTTATAAAAAACAGAGGATCCCTGAAATGTAGACACTTAAAAAACATTTTATGTAACTGGTAGGAAGATGGAAGCAGCTTCATAAAATCTTTTAAAGTCACCAACACTAAAATATTAACTATTAACACATTAAATATTAAAATTTTGCTAGATAATTGCAACAAATAAAATATTAACCTGAACTCAGATTTCTCTCATTTTCTCTAGTGATCACAATTTAGTAAAACTAAGAGTCAGATAAGCAGATATATTGAAGTAAGGGTTTCCTAATGTCTGAATTCTTAATAAGGCATAAAAACTAATACATAGTAATATCAATATCCATCTTAAACCTTTTTTGTCAAAGACAACTCAGAAACTTCCCTGTTACATACATCACATAGAACATAAGACAAATGCTAATTGCACAAATTATTCAGTCTGAGAACCTTGCAAATGAACCCATATTTTGGCTTCCTTGAATCTTCCGAAATGAAATTTCGTTTGTGGAGAAGTAATTATGTGAAAGTCCTGTGTCATTCTGAGTTCTTTAAACTGGTTAAGATGCCTGGTTAGTGATTACATAAGTGAGATACCCACATCTAGTATCAGATAACTCTCTCCAAACAACAGAAATTCAGCTGGTTCCACACAGGAATACTAATGACTTTAAAGTCTGCCACTTGACCAAAGCGGTGTACAATTACATGATTTTGCTGTCCCTGGATGAGCTGTTTCAGTTTTCCCTGAAATAGTAAAACAAAGCCCTTTGTATAGTGACTCTCAGCAATCAGTTGAGACATGCAGCATAACTAATTAGATATTGTGTCCTAAATATTAATAATTTCAAGACAGGAAATACTACAACTCTCTGTGTGTACCTGATCTATTAAGCCAGTTATTCCTATAGTAATATCTACTCACAATCTAGTAAAAGGTCTTCGATGGGAATAGATGGAATTGTAACCAAGATACCAGGAGTTGCAAATACTAATCTTGTGTGTATCTGGGAATCTTGCTCAGGCAGAAATGCAACTGAGAACAATGATTCCCAGAACTCCAGTTTGGAAAACTGGACAATCATGTGATCTTAAACCTCCTTCTGACTACACTCATTAATACAAATTACAGATGTCTCAGATGTCCTGGTTTGGATATTCTTAATAAAACACCACAAAATGAACTCAAGAGCTAGTTGTCTACTTGGAAAGTAAAATTCAAAACAATCCAGAAATGGCAGAACCCACCACCAGCTACTGAGTAACAAATTTAGAGGATCCTGGGAATCCAGCCGATGAAGAAGACGTGCCACAATGGCATCCAAAAGTCATCCTTACCAAAGGAAAAAGGACAGAAGGTATTTACATATCCACCCCATTGTGGTTATAAGGAGCTGCACCAGAGGATTGTTACTCATTGCTTTTAACCTCTTGTCAACACAAGGCCTGAGAAAGAAATGCATATGGTGGACATAGAAGGGAAGTGTGTATGTACTACACTGTATATGAAACTGACTTTAGAATGCTATTTTCAATAGGATCAGTTTTCAGTGCATTAGAGGTACCAGGCACTTTAAGTATACAAAAGAAGGAGTCAAATTTACCACAGCCAATCATCATATTGCTCAAGACCATCCAGTGATTGATATTCCCCTCTTGCACCAAAGATTCACAGCTATCTAGACATCCTTTCTTTCGATCAGTAATCCATCTTATATCTCCAGTTATTTTCAATTACTAATTTAAATGATAACTAGAATAATTTGACTTACATTAAATATATGAATCATAATTTCCTGCTCAGCATTCATGCAAAGAGACTCTGGTCCAAAAATCAAGAGAAGGCAGCCATAAACATATACATGCATAGACTGATAGGTCAAAACAGGAAAATAAGAATATTTTCCCTTTAAATAAAATATAATACCACTGACCGTGCAAGTCCACGGGAAGCCTGATAGACAACAATGAAAACCTACAACAAAGTACAGGAACAATGGGTAAGATTTAACCATTGGAAGGCTCCAGGAGCATGGGGACTGAACTGATTACTTCCTCCCTGAAGAATGTTACCTTATCTAGTTTATATACTAAATCAAACCTAGAAAGTTTAGTAACAGTGAGTAACAGACTTTAAAGGAATTGGTAGTCAGTGGTTTGTGGGGGATAACCAACTGAAAACTCTAGCAAAGAATCCTGCAATAACACTGCATCATCATCATCATCATCAACATCAACATCATCATAACCACCACCACCACCACCAATGTAAAGAATAATACAAGTTATTGAAACTTTGCTCTGAGTCATACAGAACACATGTGGGGGTTTGCATTCTCATACTATATAGAAATATAAATTGTTATGAATGCTTAAAACCAAGATAAGAGAAAATTATTAGAATGAAAATCACAATAGCATATCTGGTAATTGCCCTACTGCTGGTTAAATGTTTGGGCAATCGTTTCTAGGCACAAGAGTATAGAATGCACAGTGGCCCTGTGGTTTTAGGGTTCATAATTTACTGCAGGAACAGAAAGAATAGTACTGAGATATAATTTAAGTGCCTGTGTTGAGAGGGTAGGTAGTGAGTTGACAGACGTATGAAACACAGGCCCAGCTGAAAATCGCAGTCTTAGTATAAAGGCTGTAGTTTATCAGGGAACATTATATTTAAATTTTCAACAAACACTCAAAGTATAAATGTTATGAGCTATTCTTATCTTCAAATGTTAAAAATAGAGTTTGGGGGGCAGGAGAGATTGCTCAACGGTTAAGAGCACTGATTGTTCTTGCAGAAGACCCGGGTTCAAATCCCAGCACCCACATGGCAGCTAGCAACTGTCCATAGCTCCAGTTCCAGGGAATTCAACAGCCTCTTCTGTCCTTCATGGGCATTGCACAACACAGGTGCACTCACCTACATGCAGACAATACATGCATATACATAAGATAAAAATAATAAATATTTTTTAAGAAGAGTTTTCAACATTTCAATTTTACTCTTGTGTACAAATTCACAGTAATCAAAAACTATGCATTATACAAAATCTATTAATAAGAGGAAAGACAGATTAATATCTATATTCTTTAATGTCCCTAGTATAGACACATATGTACTATATGGAGTTTGAAGCTTTATGTCATTCTGGAAGACTATTTTTAATTGAGTTCCTTATGACAGACATCGTTGTTAAAGTTGGGCATTGACTATAAATACTGAAGGCAATTAATATGAATCACATCTTGACTTTGCAGAACTGCCACATATTGTCATGGAAAGGAGGGATATATCATAGCTCTTCCTACCTCTGAAATCACAAAGCTCAAATAAATACAAAAGAAAATACTGAGGCAAGAAAAATACAAATAAATATGTCATCTGCTACAATAAGAATATTCTACTATTCATAAGAATGCTTTAAATTGAAGGGAAAAAGAAAATGAGATACCCTGTAAAATTTTCCATGCTAATAGATATTTACATCAGAGCACTGAAGCTTGATGTACTCACAACACGTTGTCCATGGCAGTCTTTAAATAGTCCCAACATTTAGTACATTTTGACAGATGTAATTCTTATTGTCAGCTTGGCTAAAAAATGCTGGACTTTGGACTCAAACAAAGATGTTCAAAATAGTTGTTCCTGGCTGAGCTTAAAGGAAGCAGAAACCATTGTGGCTTTTGTCATACACGTTACAAAACTGCTGCTAAGAAGAAGATCATGAAATATTGATATGTATTTACCATTTCAGATGTGCACAGACAACTCTGAACGCTGTCTTAGCAAATGCTCTGAGTTCAGCCTCTATATGAGGAAACTTTGGGAGTGGGGATAACATGGCTTCTTTTTTAATCACAGTAACAAATATCTAATATGTTCATTCACAAAGAAAAAAATCAAGAGCAATTTTGTGCAAAAGAATCACTTCCATCAGCAGCTCTCACATTCACAAAACGTCACCTCCAACTTTGATATTTCAAGTTCAAATCCATGAATATTTGCTATCCTCAACTCCCATCTCTTTGTTTCACTGTCTCTCTGTCTCTCTGTCTGTCTGTCTCTCTCTTGCTCTCCCCCCTTACATATATGTACACACATGCATACACACACACACTCACACAACTTTGAATAAGCTTAAGGCATTTGTTATAGTAAAATATGTCACTATTAATCTGTGAAAGACTGATTCCTATGACAACTGTACTGAGGATCTTCTGGAAAGCATATTAGTTAATACTTATGGTACTCATGCACAGTGTCATCAGAATCAATTATCAATGACTTCACTTTCTTCAAAGAGACAAAAAAAAAAAAAAAACAGTGAAAGCTGAAGGAACGTCTCAGTGGTTAAGAGCACTGGGTGCTCATGCAGAGAACCTGGGTTCAGTTTCCAGCATCCACATTGCAGCTAACAACCATTTGTAACTCCAGTTCCAGGGGAACCAACACCCCTTCTGGACTCCACAGGCATTATACAACATGGTACAGTTACATACTCACAGGCAAAATACACATACACATAAAATAAAATCAATGAAAATAAAAGTCATGCCTGAATGAAAAGCAGGCCTGCTTTACTCACTTAGCTTTGATTTATAACCACCACCATCATTATTCATTGTTTCATGTGCAATCTGCACATACCCCAGAAATGGACTTTACCCATTCTGCATACTGTCTGCCTCCTTCCTGCTAAGACCAGTCTTGTTGGTAAGCACATATAAACTCTAGGCTCTGTGTCCAAGGTTCCTTACCACTGCATTCAATCCCTGCAGTTTGGAAATGTTCAGCGAGGAGAAGGAAATCATAATGTGCCCCATTTGATGTGATCTTTGATACCAGTAGTTCTATGTTTATAGCATCATAGACTGGAACTAAGACAAATGCCACCTGA